CTGACAAATATGTTAGAAGAAGTCACAAACATGACCATTAAATTTAAACATACGTTGTTGTAATTATATAGGTTTAAATCTATTTTTAACTCTCCTGACAAATTAAAAATCACTACCTTGAAGAATTCTGAATTGTCACTAAACTGATTCCCCCCCTCCCAACTCCTAGTATGTTCCCAGGTATTGGGGGGGACCCACGGGAGATCTTACTGCTCCCACTTACACACAAGTGGATGAGCTGAGAAAACATTTGAAATAGCAGTATTCCTCTGTGGAATACCACTGCCCCCACCGTCTCACACAAACAGAGGGGCCATATCTGATACACTGACTACAGATGACAGGTGAGTAGGGGGCCCGGCCCAACAGCCACACAACTACTAAGCACAGCCTGTTACACACAGACCTATACGACACCAAGAATTCAAAGCACACACACTTCCCTTCAGTCCCTTTCACAAACCCTAAACCCTTCGAACATCATGGGTATTCCTCAGTGCGACTGCACACGCCACATGAGAAAACTAGATACAAAGGTTACTTAAATCAACACTGCAGTCAATTCCATCCGTAAGGCAGACATGGAGAGTCCCTCGAATCAATAAACGGCTTGTTTACATTGTTCCCCTTATCAGATACAGGAGCTTGTGTCACATGGGAAACTTTGACCGAGGACGGTTAGGTGTGACTCTGCTCACTGACATACACATGCTAGTGAGGGGGAGACTCTCACAGGCTGGCAAGAGAAGGTAGAGGACAAGGCGACCGCACCATGAGCTCTACCAGCAAAGAGACACTCTGTCAGTGAGAATACATGTCCCAGCAGACTAATCTCAGCACGTGTCGGCCCTGAAGTGAGGGAGGAGGCTGCAGAGACTCGCAATGCCCTGAATCCCTTTGATTCTCACCTCACACGCCCTGGAACTTGTTTGCCTACAAAAGCCTCGTTTATTTCATCACCGGTTCTGAAAGGTTGCGTCGCAATAAAAAATCCAGTTCAAGTTTCAGCAATCAATAGCAAGACGATCCGTTAAAGGCTCTGTCAGCTGCCATTGTTTTCAGCTGGCAATAGAACCGCTCCTTACAGAATGTGCTTGACGCTGGTTTTGTTTGTTTGTCATGCTTAAGCAAGATAATGCTGGCAGGTAGTTATGGGAAGGTGAAGGGTGGGGTGACTCACCTGGTGGCAGGTAATGAGTAGCGCCGACCAAACGAAGACCCCCGACAGGGCCTGCGCGGCCACAGTGTTGAGGAAGATCTGGTCCTCCACGATGGAGCCGTTTCCTGACAGCACGAAGGTCATGTTTTTCATGTCCGTCACGTTTGGCAGCATGTGAGCCAGAAACTTTGACTCTTGCCTGGGGATTTTTACATCCATCTCAGGTGTGGTGTTCACTTCCATCCAAGAACCAGAACCATTCATCTAAAAAGACAGAACCCAGATTAAAAATCTCAAACTGCAATATTACAGGTGCAGGAACATAAACTCTGCCATCCAGTTCTCAGAACTAGTTCACCCATACAGGGAAATAGTCAGGCTGTAGCATATGACAAGAAGCAGTTACTCCAGTAGGGAGACAATGCAAGTACTGATACAAAAGTGGGACCATGAAACAACCCTGCAACACTAGAGTGTTTGGTCATCCACTGATCTAAAGCTAAAAAAAACATTTAAGGTTCCAAATATTTCTCCAAATTAAATTCAAAACAACTGTACTAGGTTGTAGCTATGAAATGGTACCATTTTTTTTGTCAAGTTGCTTAGTGGTTAAACTTCATACAGGTATTAGTACAGGTAACAAGCTGATACCAAGCGCTGAAACCAGATGACTTCTTCTCTTGTTAAAATATGCATGTGCGATTCAAACTGTCTAGCCGCTGTTAGACATTGCCTTTGGTGTCCTGGACAGGTTTTCCGGCTGCCAAAAGCATCAATGAGCACTATATATATCCACAGAAAATATGTCAGGCAGAAGAAAGCAAGCCGCGAGAAAAATTTGCGTAGCAGATATGAAAAAACAAGTTTGTTAATTCTGCAGCATGCCTTCTATAACATATGCCTATGCTTGAGTACAAAAAAAAAAATCGCCAAATGCTTTAACATTTTCACGATTAAATTGTTAAGCTTGTTGCATTGTAAATCTAGGTCGTAAAAGCACCCCAAATAAAAAGTTTCCTTATACATGCTACTATTTTGAGCGGTAAAACAACTCATTTGCTGAAATAAACTTTTACGGCCAAAAAAAAAAAAACATATCCCCTTCCTTGGTGATATGTTCAAAGTAAATAGTGTTTGGTAGCAATTCGTCTAAACGGTGATTTGCATTGCTGTGACTTCAGTTAAAATTTAATGTCGCCTGTTAACACAACCTGTATGGACTAAATGGTTTACATCGGCTTTTAGAGTTCATGAGATCTTTATTGGGAGCAACCGACTGTTCGGTTTATTAGCAATCTAACACAAATAAGCGGATGTATTAAATGATCCGCACTTAAGGGACTTCGGTTGGCAGTAAATGTAACAATAAAAGATAAATAATTCGGGGATATACAAGATTTCTTTGCTTCACATATTTCCCAAAAGTTATTTTGTGCATACAGCAATATGAAAACTTACCTTATCGTATAAATTCCTCTCCAGCGTTTTAACAAGGTAACTAAGTTTAAAGATTTAACAACTGGATCGTTACTGGATTTTAGAAAGATTCTATCACGAAGAAAATACACCTGCTGCTCTCAGAAGTGCACGACTGTACACGCCATAAATCTCCAATCTGCGATCAACCTTTGCATTTAAAACACTCAGACGAACGCGAAAGATGCCACAGCCAGGTGTAATGGCTGCCTTTCGGAGTCCTGTCACTTACGACCAAAAGATTTTGCTTCCTCGTTTTACCGACCGCAAACCTATTTAAAGAGAAAACATAACTTGTGTTTTAAAAGCCAGCTTCCTATCAAAATGCTACATCTATAAATCGTTCTTGCTTTACACGTGTATATATTAAGTAATGCCCACTTAATCCGAACTACTGGTTAGTCCACCTGCGCGAGTGTTGGGCACATATCGGGCAGGTGAAGAACAAGCGACAGACCCTGATCACATGACCCGTGCGTGGCCTTCATCACGTGACAGCGATTGCCCATCTTGTCACAAACGACCATAAGCAAGTGAGGCAGCATGGCTCACGTGTCGGGGTTCGGGCTTGTTGTACTGTAGCCTAGAAAGGAGCGCATCTTAACCAGCTTTCTGCCCTGTACCACGGGCGGTCGGTTACCTGGTTGGAATCTGAGAAATACTCGGAAATATGCGGAAAACCTTTATTGTATAAACACAAAATATATAAAATACTCAAATGATATTTTTACGAGGTCAGGTTTATGTTTGTTTTCAGAAATTAAGTCAGCACAGTACATTTCCCACTGTCGTATAAGGAATGTCGTTTGCAAAAAAAAAAAACCTATACATTTCAGTATATTCGACATTATCCCGGTTGTATGCACTGGCGTTCCGAAAAATTTCCTTAAATGTTGTTATAAAATTACCCGCAGTTTAATTTAAAAGAGCAATGAATTCCAAAATAAAGCAATTCTTTGGCGTTTCTGAGAGGAAAAGACCGGAAGTCTCCTCCAGTCCATCACATTGTTTGAACTTCAGTGTTCATCATACAGTATCTCGACCAGGGTTAGCCGATTACGCTCCTCCAACAGATGACGCTCCCACTTGTTATCAGGCGTCCATGATTTCCCCGATAACAAGCCTGATATCACCACACTTGACAGCTCTTGATCGCCTCTTTCATGGCTTTCAGCCCCTCGATGGTGCTGTCTTTCAGCGCCAGTCCCAAGAGCACCGCCTTGTTGCCCGCCTCTTGCGAGACGAAAGTCACTAAGTTTTTGGCGTAAACGTGAGTCAAAGCCTGCAAATAAATGTTGTGACATAACGGGTCCTTATGATTGCAATACATTCATTTCTCTTCATACACTTAAAAAATAATTCGTACATTTAAGCACAGGAGAGCTGCGATTTTACCTCATCCTTCCCCAGCAGTACTTTAGTGGTAAAAGTACGAGTACCGATGTCAGCGTTTCTGGAGTCAGGCGTGACTGATATTAATGTCCCCATCTTTCCATACTGGGTAACCACGATGAAAATGAAGTTACTGAATTCCGTGCACACCACCTGGGTCTTTATCCCGTTAATGGTCTCCACTCGCTGCTTATGCTTAATAATGGGCTGGGTTGCCATCCTTAGCTCCTGGGTCTGGAAAAAAAAGAAAGAATAATGTAAACTAAGACATTTGTTTCATATATGCGTATTTTCCCAAAATATTCTATGACATAGTTTCGTATACAATAATGCATTTTTAAAATGCATGCTCCTCTGCCATTCTGACCAAGATAAGCGGTTAGAATATGTGTGGATAGTCTAGCACATTAAATAATTTCTTATTCAAAATTGCCAGTAATCCTTCCCTTTTATAAACCCGTACCATATATCAGAAACGGGAGATCGTAGAAACAAACTGCTAAAACACCCTTCCCACATGCAGCAGTTCTTAAAACATTTTAATTTGATCGAATAGTCTATGCTACACACTTGTTACGGCTACAGGGAAGTAAGTGACGATCGGCCGCCATACGAGCCAGGAAACACCGGTGCTGCAGCAAAAGCCCGTATATGGAGGCCGTAAGATACACGTTCTCATTTAGCGCTACTTGATTTAATGCCATTTAAACGTATAGTGAACAGGGAGTACGTCTTACCTATTGTACTTCACCAAAGAAGACAGATCCCCGATAAATGCAATCGCAAACAGATAATAGCTAGTAGTAAACGTATTACTGCGCCCCGAGCCCAGGGTCTCAAAGCCGTCGGCAAGCGTGAGTCTCAGAAATCACTTTCGGTAGCGCTGCATTATGTTAAGTGGCAATTAAGATGCGGTCATGCTATACCGTATAGCTAAACAATATATGTATTTTAAGTCCTATTATTTTAAGAACCAATAGAAAGTTTGTTACAAAATCACATCTCAGAAGGTGTGTGTAAGATAAATAAAGTGATGTCATTTTGTTTATGTATATGGAGATTGGGAGCGGGACGTTAAGTTGAATTCTAATGAGTGAATAATAAGTGAATTCATTTGAAAAGGTGAAATTGAAAGCTGCGTCATGCAGATAACCTCATCTGAAGAAACTATTAGAGAAGCAACTGGATTCAATTAGAATTGCTTTTACTCGTAGGAGATCACGTTTTCTATGTTGAAAAACCATTCAAAAATGATGAGAGTTGTGCGCATGCTCATGCCAATGAAACTGGAGGCAGTGAACGTTTCTCACCGACTGTCCTGACCTTTAAGAGGTGGCAGTAGAAGGCGTTGAAATTTTAATAGCAGTTTGAATGAACCACCTTCGAATGGCTGAAAACAGTTCTCAGCCAGAACAGTGTACCTCCTACAGATTCCCTGAAAATGCATTGTGCTATTTTCATGTTTTGTATAATTAGTGTGATGATCATGTCCATTTAATGACATTAAAATACCCAGCGCATTTGCTGTTATGTCTGTCCCTTTAAAATCTGTAAATGCTCTTAGAGATTCTAGGAAAAGAGTAACTGTAAATCAGAAGCTAAGAGTGAGTTGTGTTAGATGTAACAATAATGATAATAATGACACTTTATTGATCCCTTGTGGGTGAATTCTTTCTTTGCCTACCCCATCCTGCTCTCTATGACACACAGACAAATAGGTGAGATCAAGCTTGGCAGCAAAGGGTCACCACCTGCAGTGATGCTGGGGGTTATGGGCTTTGCTCAAGACCCCCAGACATGTGACTGTCAGGATGCAGTAACGAAGGTCTGTTTGGTCGCTGTATTTTTATTTATCTAGTGACCTGGGGCCTGTACTACGAAGCGGGGTTACTGGCTTATCGGGTAACTTGTAGGATTTAAGGTATTATGGGCAAAATGTAAGTGAACGAATACGAAGTCCATTTAAACAGTGGTACCTTAAATCCGACAAGTTAAAAGACTTAAAAGTCTCATTTCTCCCATCTTTGTTGCATCCAAAGATATATATGACAACAATATATATGACTATTCCTGCAAGCATTCCCTGCTTAGCAGCAGAACGTGCCCTGAAAGCCATCAGTATTATCCTGGCTAAAGTGCAGTTTTAGGTCTGAACTGTAAGATTCAGCGTTCTGAATGCTGGGAAAGCAAATTGAAGATTGAAGACAACCCCAAACCCCTGAGCCCTTTAAACAGGAGATAGGATAAGATAGCTCCATGATGCTGTAACCTTTCCATTGTGTAAGGAATTTCTCGTGGAAATGCTGCATTGCTCTCTAGAAGTCATGTTTTGAGGCCCAAGGGTTTGAACTTGATATAGGCTGGATATCGGAGACCTGTGTGTCCGAGGGGAGCTGTCATCTGGTGGTGTAAAACACAAGGAACAGAGATGAGCTTTAGAAGAAAGCCTGCTTTGGGTGGATAGAGAGCCACAGGCAAAGCAAAAAAGTGAGCTGTCCACGGCCTAGGCCTTGGGAGATGCCTTGAGTAAGACACTGACAGAATCTCACAGAAACACCCAAGACTTTGTAACCTGCTCAGTCATTTTAATGAACATATCAGTCCTTTAACTGCAGTCATAGGCCCTGTTTATACCTAGTTTTAAAAACATCTACGGCAAGAAGATCACAAGTGGACAGCCAAGACACATCGCCACTTACATCTGTGTCTGTCGTGCATCTCCAAAGTGTCCATGCAGTTGAGCCTAATGTCACTTCCACCAGAATGTCGAATGGTGCTGCACAGTTATTGTGACATCCTTGTCGGGGACACACCTGGACGCATTATACACAGAAGATATGTGGCCAAATGTGTCATAGACCACATTGGCAAATGGTTTGAGTCATCAGATCGCAATGTGTCTTCGTAGTCATTTACACTTGTACTTAGCACTGTCCACTTTCAATCTGATCATCCAAGAGGCATTTTAAAGCCAAGTGTAAATAATAGTTTTAATTATAATACCTTGTTGTAACCAGATTGCGTGCTCACTGCACGTGCACTTCGAGATGACCAGCCCCATAGGAGATGGGCCGAGAAACTACACAGATTAACCAAAATCCTCATAATGACTGTGCTATTTACAGGCGAAGAGGCAGGGGGAGAGAGATGAAGTCCATGCTAGCGCCGGAGAGCGGCCTCTGCATCTGAGTTTTGCTGATTGCCGTTTTTGCTTCCGCAAATGCTCCTGGATGCGAGTGAAGAGCCCACACTTAATGACTGCCTGTTGTCACCGGTGCCTTTAGACTGGGATTCGTTTTATGTAATTTTTTTTGCCTCCCCTCCTGCTGCTTTCGCTGACTCGGGGGTATTTAACTTTTTGTGCCACGATGTTTACGGAGGCGCCGCCTTTTGTGCGGCGATCCGGCGCTGCACCTGCACAGGCATTCAGGCGACTTTTGACTTGGAGTGGCCGCGTAGGAAACTGACATCTCAGCAGCTACCTTTCACAAATCGGCCGCCCCCTCCTCCCCCACATTCCATTTCCATCTTCCACCCAACTCCAGTCCTCTGCAAGTGACAGATGATTAGCTGACTGCCCGTGGTTCTCCGTCATCTGGATGGGCATTTCGGGTCTCCTCTGAAGTTGACGAAAGGCAGAGTGTAATTTACCACCATCACGTCCAGTAAATCAACAGGGAATAAATCAACATAAACACATGACTATACTGTAGCTAGTATAACATTGCAATATTTTAAGCACATGTAATCTTTGTGTGTCGGATACATGTATCTCAGTACAAGAATTTATTTAAAATTTGATATTCTAGACGTGTGTGTATACACACGCACACATTAATATATACACATATAGGCTTCATGTGGTGGGTAGTCCTGTCGCCTTACACCTTTATACCTCTAGGGGGATTCAAATCCCATCCCACTGTCTGTGTGTAATTTGCATGTTTTCTGTAGCAGTTGAAAGGTGTGGCTAGACTGTTTCAGAGTCTTTAAATTGCCAATTGTGTGTGTGTGTGTGGTTTTGCATATATTACATGTCAGGGACCCAACGTTTTTGTAATAAAAACCTGATACTTTTTACCTTGTGCGGACATTTTTTGGTCCCCACAAGGATAACATCAATTTAATAAAAATCTGTGACTGTAATCAAAAACTAAAACTGCCAAAAGTCTTGTCTTTTGTTTCGATAGTCATGGTTAAGGGTTGATCTGGGTATGGTTTATCGTAGATAGGGTAAGGGTAGTGCCCATAGAAATGAATGGAGAGTCCCCACAAAGATATAGATACCTAATCTGTATGTGTGTGTGTGCCTGCCCTCCAGTGGAGTGCTATCCCATTCCAGGTACCCCTGCCTTGTGCCCTCTGCTTCCTGGGATAGGCTCCAGTGCCCCCTGCCCTCCCCCAATCCTGTACTGGATAAGCAGTTGGAAGATGGATGGATATATATATGAGAGGTCATAATTACAATATCTAATCATAATCTGCACCTTCCACATAATTTAGTAGTAGAATTAAATTAAAACTCAACGAGTCGGCGAGAGGACCAATTATCCGCTGTTGTAGGAAAGTTAATAAAAGGCTGACTTAATGGAGCTGGCTGTGGTGAGCTACAGCTGTGACATTAACCTTCCAGTCAGGGACAGTCTCATTTACGTCAGCCGAGCTGTGGCCGTGCGGCCAGCTTGTAATGCTGCTGTAATTTGGGCATTATTCACACGGAGAGATCGGCTCTGCGTCTGCGGCATCGTCGCGCTTTTATCCCCTTTTATCCCCTCCGCTCCCTTACCCACCTTTGCATTTCATAGGATGGGAACAGATAAAAGTAACTAATACAGTCGCCTCTTAATATGCGTACGACTGCGTTTCAAACACAGAAAGTTGTCCTAGCATGCAGTGAAAATGAGCTCACAGTCCTAGCTGGAAATCTAATATGTGATTCTAATATTCAGCACTGGCTTTGTGGCTGTATGCAGTTTCCTTGAAGTGCTTGCCAGGCAGATACATTGTTGCCATGTTGGGGATGTGGTGTTCCGTTCCCACGGAGGTTGGTGCCCGATTGCTTATGGCCACGCGATTCGCACAGACTGGTAAAGACCATCGAGGCCCAGCTTGATGGCCCGTGAGATTGCCGTTACGTGGGTCGATGGCTGGAGCGTGATTGCAGTGCACTTCAGTATGCAGAAAGGTCCATTTTGGAGTCTCTTCCTGGCTGATATTATGATGTTCCAGCTCAAAAGGCATGGTTTCTGGGTCCTTTCTTGGGTCTGGTTGCTCTCATAGAGAGACACACCAGCCTGTAATGCTCATTAACGATGAGTCTGCCCGAGGCCTTCAGCCCAGATAGACTGCTGCTTCCTTTAAATTTAATTTATCTATTGTGCTCTCAAAATATGGCAGCTTATCTTCTATAAATCTGGAAGGCACTGCTGGGCTCAGTATCAGAGAAAGGAAAGAATCACTACAGCTGTACTTATCATGCTCGCTGATTTCATCCGGTGATAATTCGGTCCCAACCAACCCAACCAACGCCTTTGATTCTGCAGAAAGTTTTAAATATAAACCTATTGATCATAAACTGCACTGACATATCAATACTGACACAGTGAAGATTTCAATTTGGGAGATTTTTATCTCCTTCAACTGCATGAAAACTGTGCTTTGCCCCATTTCATGAAATTATAAAATACAAACATGATAGAGTCAAAGCAGGGATTCACAGTGAGATGCTGAAGGTGCCCCAAAGTGCATTGAAAACAGAACATCTTTTTTTTTTTACTTGATTGTTTTTGGAATTGTTGTTTGTCTGTTGAAATTATCAATTATCAAGCTGCTTAGTGAGAATTTTACAAAACATGCTATTATATTTATAACATTTAATTCCTCTATGTTACAATTTGAGCTAAAAGTAACCTTTCCACTGGAAATTTTTGATTTAAGCAGTTAGGCTGAGTATTAAGTTCGTGAAATAATACATGTGCGTGTTTTTAATTTCACAATAACGTGACATTGCAGAGATTCCTTCCATTTTTCTCTTCTCCTGTCTGAAGCTGTGCTTCTGGAAGCAAACACCAGACCAGACAAACCACATCTTCCTTCCGTTTTCCAGAGATTCATCTTGCCACATATTGAAATTAAATATTTTCATGCAGACAGAATCAGGTTCGTGTAGCTGGATGGTCATTTTTATCACAAAAACAGCCCCTTTCCTGAAAGTCCCTTTTTGGAAATAACAGAATGCTATTTATGAACACAGATGTTTATGGACATGCTATAAAGCGATTAATCACTTTTAAACACAGTTTAAAGCTCAAATGTTGTTACCCTTATAGAAAAAATTGGAGACCACAGGAAGCAGCTTTGGAATGACAATTTAGCAAGATTACACTCTAATTCATGAATTTTTTCTACCGTGAATTGTTGTAACTTAACAGAAGTGCTTTATTTTCCCTTAAAATGAACAAAATAGCACCTAATCTCTTTATTATGATATGCTGCTGCTGTGGAGAGATAAAGGTGAGTAATTGTGGTCCAAATTAATTATAGTACATTCCCCCGGTGTTTTTTTCCTTCTTTTCACAGGTTATTTTGTACTGTCCATGTTTCATTCATGCCATTCTTACTTTCTTTCTGAGGTACCATGCAGCAGAGCAGGAATAGGCGGGCATATGGCTGTGCATGGTGGGAGGCAGCAGGAGGCGCCGTGACACATCCAGCCTTTCCACGGCCTTGTGCCCTCCGAGTTTCTCAATTAATGAAACCCAGCTGGGCTCAATCACATCGGCCCACTTGTTAGGGCTTTAAATACAGCCAGTGGGGACCTGGTGGATGCAGGGCTGGAGGGAGTCTCAGGGGCTGGGGGGCATCTTAGCTGTGTAGTGGCTGTGGGTTACTTGCTGGTTTTGTGTTTTAAATAGTAGGGTTTAATTTATTTTTTTCAATTAATTTTGTGTGTGTGTGTCTTAAAGGAGCCACAATAAAATTTTGGATTAAGAACATTATTTGGATAAGTCAACTCTCTTGTGCATCTGTTCTCTGGTGCCCAGGCTGACTCGCCACAGATTTGTCTGTGAAAATGCAGTCCAGCACAATTGCTTTTCTACAAGCTTCTCGTCTTTTTGAACTTGATTTTCAGGTTCTGGGTACAAGCTGTGAAGATTTTGTAGTCTTTATGAGAAAATTTGGTGACTTTGATCTTTATTTTGATTCGTTCTGCCTATTGAAGAGGAAAAATTCCTAGGAGTCTAGTCTGGTTAACTTTTAACCAAAGTGAGCATTCTCTCTCTCTCTCTCTCTCTCTCTCTCTCTTTGATTGGCTGTGTATATGTTTGAAATGAAACTTCCTTTCTGGTCAAGCATGAAAGATGCCTTCTCTTAAGCGCATAGATGTCTGTGTGGTACTCTCTTTCTGTCTAATTTGCTTAGCTTACCGTCTTTTGCTTGAGAGACCTTAAAACACGTCTGTGTTTTCAGTGATGATTCAAGGAAATGTATTGCCAGTTGGCATGCAAAGAGGCGGTCGCCTTGGGTGCCCTTGGGCTTAGTGATAAGGTCTGATTTGGGAACTTGGCTGGAGCACTGGTCCAGTTAGGGTTCTGGAGTATCACAGTTGACAGGTTTAGATCTCAGGCGAAATGCTGTTGTACCCTTTAAAATTACATGTTAATTGCCTTTGAGGAAATATTTCACTCCAGGATTGTAGGCTATGCCAGTCTTCATAGACATGAGGCTTTACTAAACAATGTAACAGACTCATTTTTACAGGTAACACCTATTCAGGTCAATTTAAGGAAGCAAAACAATTATTTATATAAATCAATACTATAAATCTTATAGTATTAGGCTCAGTGAAACAAGAAGGAATATTAGGCCTTTATATTTTTGTTTAACTATGGTCACTATCTAAGGGTATTGCTCATAGTATTTTTAAATTGTATAGTATACTTTAACACTTTTAAATACTCAGTGCTATTCAAGTAGTATGTGGCATTACCTTTTTATCTCATGAATGTATTACACCAAGTTCACTTTATGAGGATAATGGTTGTACTGAGTGATATCTTTTATTTACTCTGCTAAAAGTCTCAACTCTACATATCTCTGCAGTACTTAACTGCGACCAATTTTAATGCCACACTTTTGTGTTTTGCCAGAAGGCAGGCGATGGTGATACGGACGTCGGCAAAACCCAAAATAATTACCTCAGAATTATGAAAGAAAGCAGCTTCCTTTCCTTTTTTTCTCCTTGGGGTTATTATTGTGCTCCTATATAAAAAAATAAAGAAACAAAATCATCATCGTGTCTGTTTTCATGAACAAATAAGCAGAATAAGGTTAATCAAGCCTTTTTGATAACTTCTGAATAGCTCGCGTCTACGTGCCTGGCGCATGTTTCCAAAAGATGCGTGTCTTAAGAGCGCGAGACGCGGCGACTGAGTGCAGATTCAGGATCCCTCTAGCCGCCCAACAATATGTTTAATTGAAATTACTTCCTCAGGCATCTGCGCCTTTCTGCTATAGGTTTTCATTCCGGGAATAAATGTACCTTTTGCATCAGGGGTTGTCAGCAGTGGTTCCCTGGCTGTTCCGCTTTAGTCCACTAGGGGGCTGTGCACCATAGCCAAAGAAGAAGGAAGGACGCTGTCTGTACGTCGGCTACAAACGAGTCTCAACCAAATATACCAGACAGCTTAAAGAGATACCGTTTTTATCAGGCCACTTTGGAATATACAGGTACATCTAAAAAAATTGTACCCGAAGTGTTTTCTGAGACAGTGTCAAGAGGAAGATGAGAGACACCAGATCTAACAATGCAGATGACCTGAAGGCTGCTATCAAAGCAACCTGGGCTTCCATTACACCTCAGCAGTGCCACAGGCTGATCGCCTCCATGCCACGCCACATTGATGCTGTAATTCATGCAAAAGGAGGCCCAACCAAGTATTGAGTGCATAGGAATGAACATAATTTTCAGAAGCCTGACATTTCTGTTTAAAATATCTTTTTTTTAATTGATCTTATGTGATATTCTAATTTTCTGAGACAGTGAATTTTGGGTTTTATTATCTGTAAGCCATAATCATCGAAATTCCAAGAAATAAAGGCTTGACATATTTCACTCTATGTGTAATGAATGTATACAATATATGAATTTCACCTTCTGAAAGGAATGTCAAGAAATATTGAACTTTTTCACGATATTCTAATTTTTTGAGATGTACCTGGATACTTCCCAACGCAGTGTTTAAGCTATATCTGGGAAAAGGGAAGGGAGTAATTCTGTACTCCCAAATTACTTTTCTTATTAGCGATAACATTTCCGCGTATGTTTCCCAGGGAAAAATGTGAATATCTTCAACCAATTAATATGCATACATCTCAGTATGATTTAGATGTCTGCATCTGTGTGCCCTCACCCCACCCCAGGAGTGATGAAGAACATGGAAGTGTTTTGGTATCTCTGTTACTGTGGTAGGCAACCCTCTCAGAAAGTGAAATGTGGAACTGAAGCTCATTTCCTGTAAGTACTTAGATGAAATGAAAAACGTTTTTTTGTTAGTGTTCGTTGAATCAGACTGATTAAAAAAAGGATTTAATGATCTGAATCCAACAAATATTAAATAAATAAATATTCACGGGATATAGATATTTGTCACAATTAAAATTTTAATACAATTATACAAATAGAAATAATTAAAATAATTATCTTTAAAGTGTTGCCAGTAAGAGCTCTTGCCTGCAGGGGAAGCTGACAGGGCTTTTTACTGTGCGAATGAGGTTGGTGCAGGTTTGTAGGCTGCTCTCTACTGTGGGAACAGGGAGCAAAATCACATACAGTGCCCCCTGGCTGTGAGCACAGCGAGCGGGATTGAATATGGCACCCCCTGGCTGTGGGGACGGGCAGCAGGATTGAATACGGTGCCCCCTGGCTGTGAGGACAGGGAATGGGATTGGATATGGTGCCCCCTGGCTGTGGGGACGGGGAGCAGGATTGATATGGTACCCCCTTGCTGTGGGGATGAGGAACAGGATTGGATATGGTGCCCCCTGACTGTGGGGACGGGGAGTAGGATTGGATATTGCGACCCCTGGCTGTGGGGACAGGGAGCAGAATTGGATATGCCCCCCATTCCCCCCCCACCCCGCCTGTGGGGACGGGGAGCAGGATCACATATGGCGCCCTCTGGCTGTGAGGACAGGGAGTAGGATTGGATACAGCGTCCCCTGGCTGTGGGGATGGGAAGCAGGATTGGATACAGCACCTATTTTGTTTTTTTCGAAGTGTACTTTGGTTCCCTCTCCTTTATTCCTCAGCCATTTTCTTTGATTGTTACGAAGAGGAACTCTCAGATTTTGCCTGGTAAAAATTAAACTTATGATCCTATTTTAAAATATAGCTGTTTTCTTCAAAAATATTTAATATGAATATAAAACCAGTTTGGCAAACAATATCAATAAGTTCAGACATTAATTGACTTTTGAAATGTACTTTGGTCCAGAAGGGAAAAACATTTCTGATGCACATAAAAATATTGCATATATAAAAATGCATGTCCTTTCATCTGAGGAACATATCAGTTTGTTACCTACAGTCATTTCTATTCCTAAGAAAATTGCACTCCTTGAGAGAAACTCAGGATATATTTATGCTTTGAATAAAATGAGTTACCTTCAAATTTTCATCAGAAACATTAGTAGAATAAGCATACGATGTGAATGGGACACATGTGAAATAACTGGCATTTTAGATACATGATCATTGGACATTAGTCTTCGTAGCAGCATTTCCCAGTCTGGTCCTAGGACACCCACAGACGGCCCAATTTTTTCCTCAGGAGCTGGGAGGGAGCAAAACTGTGGACTGCTTTATAGTCATTCTAAAGCATCCAGAGTTGCTTGGAGTGGCAACAAAGTGTGATCTCTCCTTCACCCAGCAGAGGTCTTTTGCTCAGATCCAAATGAAGCTTCTGTGAGATGTTCAAAGGCTGGTTCTCACGAGAACGATGCAAGATGCGTCAGTCATGGAATACATCGTGTCTCCGTGTAGTGGTGATCTTGTTTTCATCCCTGGGAATTAGAGCAGAAAATGCAGAGACCTTGTTTCAGTGATTCCTTTTCCCTGGGAGTAGGTTCTGCAAGCATTATAGCTGAATTACCGCCACAGTGTAATCGGCCGTCTCCAGGATTCCTCAGTGGTGATCGTTATTGACGGTTTAATTCTGATTCTTTGGAAGCTCACAGCTGGCCTGCAGCATCATGCTAGGGTGTGGGTTTGGCATAATCCCTGAAAGCATATACTGTAGGTACAAGAGTGCCACTGTTGCGTGCTATGGCTTACCAATAGAGGCCATTGATTTGTGTCTGGGGAACATTGGGATGATTGCTTTGAGGGAGGCTGCTTAGGGACTGTTGCTGTGTAAAGCACACAGGTGGCACTTTCTGATTTGGGAAAGTTGCAGATGTCTGTTCCTGCGGAGGTGCCTCTGCCCCCTAGCAGTGACCCAGGATGAGTGCATCATCCCCTGCCTGTACCACTATGCTTCTGAAGGACAGGAAGGGGCCTGCTTTGTGGAGGCACTGATGGGCACTTCCCAAAGTGGTTTGGAACTCCTTATTGATAATGCTTGTCAGAGACACATAATAAAAAAGGCAGGAGATCCAGTAGAAAGGCCTTACAGCTCTCTGTCTGGGAAACAGAGGTTGCTGATCGGTGCGTGGTCTGTGTTCAGGCGTCCTCAGTGCTCTGTGCATTGGGAGTGTCTTTCGAGTGAGAATGTTAGGCTGGCTGGTTCGTGTCCTGAAATCAAAGTCAGGGACCAGCAGAGTTGGTGGACAACTACCTTTTTCCTCACAGTCATGAATATACACTTCAACATTAAAGGGAATGACTGATACCTCTGGTGGGGTTCACTGCTACATCCATAGATGTTTTAAAGGGATCTGAAAGAGTCTGAAGCTTTCATGAGCAGATTGTGTCATTATGCATTAGCAGCAGTCACAGTAAAGGAACGCAGGTTGAGGTATACTTTTCAAGAATTGTAGATTTTTTGTAAGACATGAATAAAATGTGTCTTTTGCAGATAGCTGGTCATAGGAGACTAGGCAGTTTTTGAGCTAGTGATGCTTTTAGTCAATAAAATACTCACTGAGACTAAACGAATCCTGGAAGGGAAAAACAATGGGTCTTGCTTTTCATGGAAAGGTGGTGGGGTGGAGGGGTGCTGGAAGGGAATGGAATGAGACCAGCTGAGGTCCATCATGTTTAATATGACTGGGCAGGAGGAAAAGTTTTGAGGGTAACTGAAGTTTCAATGAAAGTAACTGAGCAGTAGAAGAAGGTAAACTGCACCCGCTGACAGGCGTGTCGCCTTCCTGCCCCCGGAGCACGTTCCTCACATAAACTCCACAGGCTCATAGGCGTATGGCCTTCCTGCGCATGGAGCACGTTCCTCATATAAACTCCACACGCTCACAGCCGTGCTGCTTTCCTGCTCGTGGAGCACGTTCCTCACATAAACTCCACTTGCTCACACGTGTGTCACATTCCTGCCCGTGGAGCGCATTCCTCACATAAACTCCACACACTCACAGCCGTGCTACCTTCTTGCTCGCGGATCATGTTCCTCACGTAAACTCCACACGATCACACGTGTGTTGCATTCCTACCCGTGGAGTACATTCCTCTCATAAACTCCACACACTCACAGCCGTGCTGCCTTCTTGCTCGCAGAGCGCGTTCCTCACATAAACTCCACTGGTTCACACATGTGTCACATTCCTACCCTTGGAGCGCATTCCTCTCATAAACTCCACATACTCACAGGCGTACCACCTTCCTGCCAGCAGAGCGTGTTCCTCATGGAAATTCTACACGCTCACAGGCATGCTGCCTTGCTGCCCACGGAGCGCGTTCCTCACATAAACTCCACATGCTCGCGTGTGTGTCTCCTTGCCTACGGAGCGCATTCCTCATGTAAACGCCACATTCTCACAGGGGTGCCGCCTTTCTGACCACAGACCCTTATTATCCAGCCAGCTTCTATGACACGCCACCATCCCGTGAGTCAGAAGTCGGCCTGATCCCTGGCCACGGAGTGGCCTGTAATTGCAGGCTGATCCGCAGTACTCTGGAGGCTCACCCCCCCTGCAACTCACGCCCCACGCTCCTCCCCAGCTTCATCACGCTGCCCCCTTCCCGCACTGCGGGTCCCTACAGTACACATTGTGATTATGCATCATCTTAATGGCTCTCACTTTTATGACACCCTCTTCCATGCAGCCAACTGTACTTTCCGCTGTTTTTTTCTGCATTTCCTTTGGAAAATCACTCTGTTTGATCCTTTTTACATGGGTTGCTACTGCTATTTTTTTCATCATTTTAATATTTGACAGATATTAAATGATTAATCCGTCCCATTTAGGTGAGCCACAGACGTGAGTCAGCCAGTAGCCTGACATCTGTTTACTGGCTGTCCTTATTTACCATGTCTTCACACTGCATCTGTTCCCTTTCGTTTGACTCTCGCTACAGAGCTCTTCTCTCGGCTGTTATTTTACCTGTATATTATGGCAGGATGCAGGCCGGGCTGCCATTAACGGTGACGCCATTGCAAATTCTGCACAAATAGTTCTGCCATTCAGAAATGAATAAAGTCCCCTATCAGCTGCCCGCACTTTAAGACATGTCACAACTTAAACAGATCCATCAATGGGAAAATTAACTTCTGACCATTTTAAAAGCTTTTTTACAAGTGTGTGTAAATTGGCAGATATTAAAAAAGACTCGAATTTACTCGACTATTCAGCTGAGAGATGTTTTTGAAAGCTAATTAGTTCCCATAGATTAATTAACTGGTGCTACTCGTTTTGCATGTTCTTTACGATTAAATGTGATACCTCATT